GCGATCGCTTGATACCTCCGGCCTGCAGCCAAGGGGGGGTGCATCCGTGCTACTGGTGCCGTGGGCTGTTGCCAGCCGAATGGACGGCCACTCCCGCACCTCAGTACGCTGATGATTGGTGTTGGGAAGGTTTGAATGATGGATTTTCACGGCGCTGTTTCCCAAAGGGTACGCATGGCCATCCCACTTTGGTGCTCGGCGACGCCCGCGCGGGTCCTGACACGAGAGACCCCCGCGTGCGGCGTGCGGCTCTTGGTGTCACGACGGTCAGCGATTTCACGAATATGACACTAGACTGTGCAATCTCAGGTGGCCTGGCTGGACCCAGGCAGACGGTTGCACGTGGTGAAGTCAAGGCCCTTTGGTTGTGCCTGTATTGCTGTAGTGGTTTTATGTGACGGACAACGAGAACGTGTATAGGAGATGGATCAATCGTGTTTTCTTGCGCCCCACTGGTGTCGATGCAGACATATGGGCAGAGATCGGTCGCATCATGGCCGGCCTCAGTTATGACGATATCACGGTGTCTTTCGTTCACTCCCATCAAGAAGCGAGTGCACTGATCCAGGACCCTTCGGATGCGTGGAAGATCTTGGGCAATGCCGCCGTGGACGAGTTGGTTCGGCTTGCTGCATTGGAGGTGTGTTTGGATTCATCGGTGAGATCCAGATTGTTGTTGCTGGATTGTGATGTATTTTTGATTCGGCATCGGCTTCGACGAGCAGTTTTCGAGAGCGTACGTGCTGGAGCTGGCACGCAAGGTGAGCAAGGTGAGGCCAGAGGCAAGCGTTCCTCCCCCTTGCCCCTTGCACCTCCTGCGCCATCTGTCGTTTTAAACTGTTCTACCTCCCATGTTTTGGAGGAGTGTGGCCGTCGTTGTCCCAGGTGCTTTGGAAGCGCCTCGCTAGATACCGCCAGCCTCTGGAAGGCCAGCCCCTATTTTGCCCCAGAGAATCTCAATGGTTCCTTTCATACCCTCGGGGCCAAGAGAGTTCACATAGGGGGTGGCTGGGTCCATAAGAGCCATAGCATGATTTGGTGCACCAAGCTAGGTCTCTGGTTCTGTGGAGCGTGCGGTAGTTACGCCAGCAAGCGTGCTTCCAACCTGCACAAGACTTGCGATTTGAAAGCCACACCAACGGGAGCTGAATATTTAAGGCGCGTTCGTTTAGGGCTACCTCCCAAAGCCCTCAGCAAAGCCGAGAGGGAGGCCCGACAGGGGCCCGTTGGGAAGTTCCCCTCCCTGGTGTAAGGCGATTTTCCCCTTTTCACTTGGTGAACTAACTTGTTTTTGCTCTTGCTCCTCCTCCTCCTCGTCCTCCTCCTCGTCCTCCTCCTCCTCCTCCTCCTTCGCCTCCTCCTCCTTCGCCTCCTCCTCCTCCTCCTCGTCCTCCTCCTCCTCCTCCTCCTCCCCCTCCCCCTCCCCCTCCTCCCCCTCCTCCTCTTCCTCCGAGGCCTGTACGTCCCAGTCAGGACGCTGGATGGGGCTCCCGTTGTCGGGCCGAGCCTTCGCCTCGGGCCGGGGGGGGCCGCTCGTGGCCGGGGCGCGCCGTGGCCACAGGAAGAGCTGGCTGCTTCGTGCCTTGCTCCGCGTCCCTCGCGGCAGCACGGCGGTTCTGGCCAAGGAAAATCCACAAGCACACATCGAGGCCTCCTAGATGGTGTCGGAGTCGATGGGGTCGGAGGATCGCGCCGAATCGCTGGTGCATCGGCGATGCGCCTCGATGTGGAGTCCGACTTCCTCCACGCCGACGTCGCCAGTGCATCGCCGACGTCGCCGGTGCATCGCCAATGCATCGGCGATGTATCGCCGATGCATCGGCGATGCGGCGGGATCCTCCGAGCCCATCTACTCCGACCCCATCGAGGAGGCCTCTACTCGAGTCGAAAAGCCACAAGCATACAGTGGAGGCCCATGCCAAGAAGCACCCTGCTTGCCTCCAGGGTGCCTTGGGTTTCTTGGGTTTCGATGGTTTTGCTACGGAAGGTGAGACGCTCCCACACCAGAAATCAAGGGACGTCCTGGGGTCTCAGCGTTGGGTTTCTTGTGGAAGGTTTCTTGTGGACTGGCCTTCACTGTAATATGTCGGAGCTCCGCGCGGATGTTCGATCGGAGCTGGACCCCCTGGAGGCGCCTCTGGCGCCGTCCTTTGTGGGCTCCGTACGCAGGGAGGAGGTCCCAGCGCCGATCCAGGAAATCTGCGCGGAACTCTGAAAGTTCATGCTTACGTGGGTTCAGCCAGGACCGACGGGGCTCGGGGCTTGCGCGCAGAGGCAGCCCTGGCTGGCCTCGAGAGGCGTACGTTTAAGTCGGGTTTGTCCCTCTGCAGGAGGACTATTCAAAAATTGTCAACAAATTGTCACAGGACGATTTTTGACTATTCCCTGACTCTCTTCGAGTATTTTGGAACATATTTGTTTATCCTTCCGTCAAAAATCCGCCTGTCGGGGGACACCCCCGACCTTTGCTTGCGTGGTTCGGGCCGGACGAAAGGGAGAGATTGGGAAAGGGGGGGGTACGAAATTTGCTGCACGCAGCTGGCTTCGGCCCCACCGAGGGGCCCATTCCTCTACACATAGCCGCCTCCGGCGCCGGGAGGCGCCGGGAAGAGCAGGTACGCGAGCTGATTCTCAAACCCCCCCTTTGCGATCCCCCCTCCAGCCCGAGTGGTGTCTCGTCCTCTAGGCAGGCTCGTGCCGCGCCGGCGCGGCGGCGGCCCGGTTCGCGGGCGAGACAGCCAGGGCGAGCGCCGCCGGGCGCCAGGGGCCGGCCCCTGCAGCGGACCACGGGCGCGAGCGTGCGAGGCCGAACGATCCACGCGGCGTCGGAAGCCAACGCCGAGGCCATCGGGGCACGAGGCTGCCACCGCCCAGGCCTCAGATCCACGTCCGGAAGGGCGCGGGGCGCCCCTCGGGAGGCGCCGGCAGAGCTGGAGCGAGCGGCCTGGTTCTTTGTTGATTCCCAGGGCAGTGCTCGCACCCAGGGCTCAGTCGGGCGTGTCCCTCTCTACAGGAGGAAGATTCAAAATAGGCACACACAAACACACACACACACACACGCACACACACACACACACACACACGCACACACATCACAAAAACCACGGGGACGATCTGTCCGTATGTTCGACGACTGCCGAGTCTCTGTTGGCTCTTTTTGTCTTGCTGCTTCCGTCCAAGATCCCCCCTGCAGGAGGACACGCCCGACCTAGAGACCTGGAGGCTCCTGCTCTGATTGTCGCCCGAGGCACTGGCCCGTCCGCACGGGGCTCGCCCCGCGGGCGCCTCCGGGGTGCCCCGTGCCGCTGCCGCCGGGGCCGTCGGGAGCTCTCGCCCGCGGGGCGCCCGTGCTGGGCGCCCCGCGGGCGCCCCGTGCGCCGGCGGGCGCCGGCGAGAGGTGAGCGCCTCGTGGGCGCCTCGTGGGCGCCTCGTGCTGCCAGAGTCAGCCCTGCCCTGTGCGATTCTTTCCTTGGGTGCGTTTCCTGAACCGCCTCGCTTGTCGGAGTGGTTCTATTACGTATGGGGGGGGATTTCTGCCCTCTACCTCAGGCATGCTGGACGGAAGACAACTCCCGTCCACGAAGCTCGAAGTCAGCCACGCGCAGAGGGGGGGTGGGGGAGGGGGGAGGGCTTCTTAGAAGCACCCCTGCTTCTCCGAAGGCGCGGGCCTTGTCTGTAGATGTAGGGCCGGCGCCTTCTGAGAAGCAGCCTCCTCCCCCCCTCCCCCCACCCCCTTGTGCGCGCCGCCAACAGAGTGTCCCGCGACAGGGAACGTTCGGCCGTCCGCGCCCGGGAGCCCAGCTCCGCAAAAGAGAGCGCTTGCGCGCAGAAGCCGATGATTCTGTCGGGCCCCAGGGTGCCCGCTCGGCCGTCGTGGAGCTTGCGTGGGCGCCTTTGCGCGGTCAGCGTCCGCTGGGGTTTCGCCCAGTCGGCGTCCGTGGGCGCCCGTAAACTGCACGACGCAGCTTCTTGCAGAGCATCGATTGCGCCACATGGCGTGCACCGCATAGCGTGCTCCACACAGCCCGCGCCGCATATACTCCCTACCCCCCCCCCACCCGAGGTTAAAGGTACCCGCTGGGACACCGGAATTGACGTATGATTATGTTCCATCGTTTATTTTCTGTATGAGCCCATGCCATCCCAGCCAAAGCAGTATTGATCACCCCTATCCCTTTGAAACAATAGCATGCGCACACCCGTTTACCTCAATCGATGTTTTTTGTTGTTCTTCAGAGTGGTTTGCAAAATGCCAGTCACGAACTCCAGACGTGGGCACGCACATCGAAATCATGCCGAACACACCAGTGCCTCAAGCATTCCAACATCTCAAGCATCAGAAATTTCAAGGTGTGTCATTCCAAACATTGCAGATTGTCTGTCCGCGCGCATCTGCCGAAACCAAATGAGGGCCATATGAACTCAACTCGCCCAGCAACCGCATCCTCATGTCACCACGTGGTGCATCCATGTTGACCCAGCATGCGCCCACCGCGCGAAGCCGTATCAAACAGCACGCGCCGCCACGCGCGCGCGTGTCGAAGTCTGTCCAACACCATGGTTTTCGACGCATGTCAAGATCGCGCCCTCCAGAAACATACGAAACAAAAAACATATGTTTTCCAACCACAGGTCTGTCAGTCTGATTGCACTTCTGCGTGCGCGCGCTTCCTCACCGTCACCCTCGTGAGCACCACCGCATCACCGCCGTCATCGTCAACGCCAATCGCATGCAGTGTCACCATCATCAGTCAAGTTCCCTCGTCACCGACACACAGGCATCATCGTCGTCGCCGCCACCAACATCGGCGCCGTCATTGGCCTTGCCGTCGTCATTTTCATCGTCGCCACCACCATCGCTACTATCATCATCGTTGCCGCCGTTGCCGACGTCATCATGATCCCGCGCATCCTCCTCTTCCTCCTCCTCCTCTTCCTCCTCCCCCCTCCTTCCACTTCTCCTCCACTCCTCCTTTACCCTCCCCTTCCCTCCCTCCGAGGACATCGCGTTCGGCGAGAAGACCGAGCTCGTGCTGGACGCGCCCTCGGACGCTTCCACGGAGCTCGGAGAACCAAAGCCAGCACGAACACACTTTCCTCGGAGGTCGCGCGCAGATTTCTTGGATCGGCGCTGGGCCCCCCTCCCCTGGCGCGCAGAGCGCGCCAGGGGCTGCGCTGGAGGCGCTGCCAGGGGAAGTCCGCGGACTTCCGACAAAGTGTGTTTGCGCTCCTCTAGGATGAAGTCGGGCATGTCCCTTTACAGGAGGAGTATTCAGTGATAGTACAAACAAAAACTCTGGTGACGATTATTCGCGCTCTTTTGACTATGTTTGATCATGTTCGAACTACTTCTGTTTTACTTACAAAATCCACGTGTAGGAGGACATGCCCGACCTAACTCTAGGCGTGCGGGGACGGCGCGGAGGGCTCGGAGTCGGAATGAGAGGCGGCGCGGTCCTGGCAGACCTCGGCCGGCTTACTCCTCTTCTTCCTCCTCCTCCTCCTCCTACTCCTCCTTCTGCTCCTCCACCTCTTCGTCGTATTTCTCCTGGTATAACTCCTCGTACTCCTCCTCCTCCTCCTCCTCCTCCTCCTCCTCCTCATCATCATCATCATCATCATCAGTATCCTCCTCTCCCTCTTTGTCATATTCCTTGCTCTCCTCCTCCTCCTCCTCCTTGTCCTTCTCCTCCACGTTCTACTCTGCATATTCGCCTTTTCCTCATCCTCATCATAATCATCAGCATCAGCATCATCATCATCATCATCATCATCATCATCATCAGCATCATCAGCATCAGCATCAGCATCATCATCATCATCATCAGCATCATCATCATCTTGCCCTACGCTGCCGCCTTGCCGCTTCGGTTTACCAAGATACCACGGGTGGGTGGCGGAAGTGTGCGGCGAGCGAGTGGGCTTGACGTGGTTCTCCCGTTCCTCTTGTGTCGGCCCTGTGCATCCGCGCGACCGTTCCATAGTGTAGTATCCTCCCCCTCCTCCTCCTCCTCCTCCTCCTCCTGCTCCTGCTCCTCCTCCTCCTCCTCCTGCTCCTCCTCCTCCTCCTACCCTCCACCTACCCTCCTGCTCCTCCTCCTTATCTTCCTCCTTCTCCTCCCCCTCCTCCTTCTCCCCTTCCTCCTCTTCCTGCTCGCCTACCCTCCTCTCCCTCCCCCCCAACCCATGCCCCCCTCTCATGCCCCCCCCCCCTTCCTGTCCCCTTCTCCTCCCCCTGCCCCCCAGTCTTCCGACATGCGATGCCGTCCCAGAGTGGCCCCCCCAGAGGTCTAGACCACTTGCCCAGGACGGCTTTCTCACCCACGAAGGGTACTTGAGCTTCGCTGCCTGTTCCAGAGATACAGTGAAAGAAACGAGGGCCCGATTGGGGAGGAAGGGGCGAATGGGGATCAGGTGGGGCGGCGTCGATAGAGGCCGCACAGTTGGCGCCACGCTCCACCTCAAGGAAGGGGTCGCGAGGGACAAAGAAGGGAGCCAGCTCAGGGTCCGGGTTCCAATCCTCTCCCGCCCCCCGAGGCCAGAGCACATATTGACCTGGCCTCCTCCTCCTTCGCCTTCACTTCCTCCTCTTCCTCCTCCTTCGCCTCCCCCTTCTTCGCCTCCTCCTCCATCCATCTTCCTTATAGATAATTCCCCACAGTCGCACCCCGAGGAAGGGCGTTTCGCCAGAGATTCCCGCACCACTTCTGATCCGAAAGCTTAAACTTTGCAGCAACTTCACGTATAGAGGGCGGGTGGTGTTCAAATTTCGTCTCTCGCACATTCGTTTGAAAGGTTGAAAAAGAAAGCTTCACGGATGGATGGTTTGTCTTGTTCAAAAGGTGGTTTTCGCCTGAGAGCCGCGCGCATCCGTACTAAGAGCCCGCAAGGGCTTCACGCATGGAGTGCAGGTCGTTTTCAAAAGGTGGTTCGCGCCATGGCGCTGCGCACATGTGCATCAATAATCTGCAGGAGATCCACGGATGGAGGGCGGTTCTTTTTCAAAATGTGGGTCTCTCTTCGGGCACCGCGCACATTCGTCTTACGAGTTCGCAGCAGTTTCAAGATTCCCATGGCGAACGTCCCAGAAACGGCGTTCTGGCCCCATGTCGGAACGCTAGGGCGCAACAGTGTCGTTGATTCGCAGTGTTGAAATCCCAGCAATGATGTTTTGGCACGGTCCAGGACCGTCAATACACAACAGTAACGGTATGTCGCGGCGCTAACTCACAGACGTGGTGCTCTGGCACGTTTCCAGATTTCCAAACGGCTGTCTTCCAACGGAGCACTTACCTCAGTAGAGATAAACCTTTCGAGGTGCCTATGAAGAGGGAGTTCGGGAGGAAGGTTATTCCGACATTGTTGATGAGGTTTGGATTTGCGCTGGTCCTCCTCCTTTCCCCATCCTCCTCCTCCTCCTGCTCCCTCTTCTTCCCACCATGGTACTGTCATTTCTCCTCCTCCTCCTCGTCCTCATCCTCCTCTTCCTCCCCCTCCTCTTTTTCATCCTCCTCCTGCTCCTTGTGCCCCTCCTCCCCCTCATCAGCATGACGCCCGAACCGTAGCTGCAGGAATGTTGCCACGCGCGCGCGCGGTCGGCCTCAGCCGCCAGCCTCCATCGGCTGGCGCCGCGATTGCGGCGACGCGCCGCCAGCGCTCCCCAGAGCCTGCCTGCAACCGCAGGGTTCGGGAGAAGCGCCAACGGGCGCGCCAGATCGTCGCCGCCTCCTCCGCCCACCTTGAGCTGCACCACAGCCGCCACGCGGACAGCATGGGCCGTGGCATGGCCGAGGGCAACGGCAAGGTTAAGGGCGAGTCTGGCAAGGGCAAGAGCGATAGGTCGACACCTACGAAGTTGCTCGACCTAGGGTCGCAACGCTCCGTTGAAACAGTGGCAGGAGAGATGCAATTCTCGCAATACGGTCAAGAGGCCGAAAGAGTACACACAGCACTCCCAGAGCCAGCAGTTCACTGATTACACGAAGGTCGCCCTCGCCCTGCGCGACATTGCGAAGAGTTTCGGCACGCTCGGCATCGGAAACGGCCAGACGAAGCACCTGCAGGATGTAGCAGATTCGCTGGCGCCATACACCAGGGAGCAGACATATACCCTTGTTTGCCAGGCAGTCGAAGAACGCTGCCACCAGACACGAGAAGGCCAATGAACGATACGACACCGCATTCAAAGCCACCTAGGCGACCAAGCTCAAGCACCAGAAGTAGCAGAAGGACCTCTACGAGCACGCGGACGCCGCGCGCCATGCGGGGATGGAGATCCAGACGCTGACCGGCAAATCCGCGTCGCAGGCTGAAGGCCCACAGGACGTGTCTGCGCCAGCCAACCTACTGCAGCTGATCATCGACCTCGACCAGGACACTCCCGAATATTTGGGGTTGGGCTGGGATCCGACCGAGGGAGACGAGGGCCTGGACTGCGAGTCCATCGCCTAAGTGACCGAGGTTAAGAAACAGCTCCTCGACAGCTACACGGCTTTGCCAAGGCCTACATGCAGGGATTGGGGGGCACTTGAGTCAAGCACGCGAAGAAGCTAAGAAGTACCAGCAGGAGATCTAGCAGGCTGTGCAGACGAGGAAGTCGGAAGGTGGAGCGGGAGTCGCGCAACCGCCTGAACCCGAACAACAGCCAGCTGCTGCGTCCGCCGTAGCATCCAGCAGCGGCAGCGACCAGGCCGACCCCGCCACGCCCGCCGACGACAAGGACAAGTTCCTCGAGAGTCAAGGCTGCCTCAGCCAAGGCCGGTGGACATCGCGAAGAGGAACTTCCGAGTTTGGGGGGTCATGCCGAAGCACAGCGGCTTCCTGAGCGGAGAATCCCCATCGGCAACTGCACGGAGAGGGGGCAAGCAGGCGGAAGCGCCCTTCGCGACAGTTCGCAAGGACTTTCGACGCCCATGCTATCCAGGAGACCCACTTGCGAATTTGCGATTCAACGAACACAGAGCGCGGGGTCCAGAACATGGGCTACCAAGCTTCACTGCGCCTGCTAGACAATCCCCCAAGAGCCCTAGCGGCCCCCAAGGCGGCACCTGCATTGGAGTGCTATCTTGCCACCAGTCAGGGTGTTTCCCTGACCAGGCCGCGCCAGGCAGGGTTTCGCAGACGACCGCGGGGCCCATGGCGCTACCAGCTGGAAGTACTCAACACTATTGTTTCGATTGGGCCCCCCACGCGTCGGCCCCGGAGAGGCTTCGGCCAGATCCTCGCCAGCATCTATAGGCATGGCAACAGCAGCCTAAGCGGGGCGAACGCTCGCACGGTCACCGCGCACGCTGCCTTTCTTGCATCGCGTCACCGCCCGCGGATCGCGACGGGCGATTGGAATATGAGCCCAGGCAAGCCCTGGGCCTCAGGATGGCCCGCTGCAAAGGGGAGGACATCTCGCCGCCATCCCTGGGGGCACAGAACGAGAAGAAAATGCACGACGACTGCGACGCTCATCGAATGCGCCCTCATCAGCACGGAGGCGTGCAGATATATCGCGGGCGCTGAGAGCGCTGCGGAATTACGGGGTGCACGCGTCTGCCAAGCGCCGCGCATGCGTGGGCGAGCAACAGCAACTTGTGCTCGCCACCAGTTCTCGCACCCGCCAGCGCCAAAGGAGCAGCCACATCTGGACAGGGAGACACGGCAGATGAAACAGCAGCGGCAACTGAGCCAGCATCGCACCGTGATCGGGAAGATCGCGAAGCCGGGGCCCATGACGCCGATGGCGAGATGAGTGTCAGATGGGAGCAACTTGGCGCGGCCGACTCACCACCCACCGCGAACCGCCCGCGCAGCATCGGCCACGACGTGGGCTCGGACGACTTCGACCTCATGGACATGCTAGGCCAGCTGGGCCTCGACAAATACGAGAGCGGCCCGTTCGACGGGCCGCGTTTTGATACTTCTCTGCCACTGGAAGACGGTAGGGAGGTGGGGGCCCAAAGGGCTCTACCCCCTTAGCCTCGCGGCCTCAGCCAAGGCCTGCTGAGCTACGACACCGAGGTGGCTGGGGGCCAGCTGGGCTGCGCGCGGGCTGGCTGGGGGCCTGGTTCTTCAGCCGAGACGCCAGGCCAGCCTGCGGGCCCGCGCGCGAACCTCGGGCCCCCTAGCAGCTGGGATCACATCAGATGAACCCGCGCCGCCCGAGGAGCCTGCGATCGACGCTCGATGGATGGAACGCACAGCCGTCGCAACAACTACCTGTACGACGACCCTCCCGAGTAGGAAGGGCGCGGTGCGCCAGTCCAACCCTGGGGCGGGCGGCCCTCTCTCTCGGGCAGCAAAATGGCATCTGTTGTTTCAGCGTTGCACGACTTCTAACGCGCGGCCTACGCCATCGCACCAAAGGGCCGACGTTATTATCAAGGAGGTGCTCGACCAATGCACTAGTCTACTAAGGCGGCTGTGCCGCGTTTACGCCGCGCGCGCTTCAAACGC